TGTCGCGCAAAATATAGGCATCGCATCGTGATACTAACTTCACCAGCCAATACAATTGTTCCAAACGTTTTCGCACAGGGGTGTCAATGCTGCAATGCTGGATGTGACCCAGACCACATGTCGTAAGAAAATGCCTTGATGGCTTACATTAGAGGAACGCCATGAAATAATTTCTTTGGGAAGGTTTATGTCCCAGCGATAGATTTCCCGTAAGCTGAACCGTCCACAGAAGACAATCAACCGCATTCTTCGAGCATTTTACCAGGAAAGGCGCTTGGAAGATGCACCACACCAAAGGAGGCCTAGAAAAACAACTGAGGAGGAAGATGCCTCGATAATAGCTGCCGTGGTCAAAGACCCTTTCTCGACAACAAAGAAAATTAAAGAAGAGGTTGGCCTATCACTCAGTCTTTCAGATATCCGAAGAAGACTTCATGCTGCCGGTCTGAAAAGCCACGTGGCGGCTAGAAAGCCGCTTTTGACCAGTGAACATGGAAGGAAACGTTTGGACTTGATGCGTCAGCACGAACATTGGAGGGCTGAAGACTGACAGCAGGTGATTTTCAGTGATGAATCGACGTTCACCTCTTGCTGGAACCAGCGACTTCGTGTTTGGAGTGTCCGTGGCAGTCGGTGAGGTTTATATTGCTTGTGTATTATTTCACACAGACAGCGGTTCGGCACCGCTCTTAGGTTTAGGAGCGTACTCATAATCAACATAATCCACAGCAGCATCACCCTGACTAACCTAACTGCAGCAAAGGTCTCTCCCATACTACTACTTTAGATAAACCGGTCCTGTTGCCGACCATGATCCCGTAATTCACTCGAGCTTCTTAATCTCATCCGTCGAACTGATTTTCTGCCGTGCCGATCTGTGCTTGCCTTTTCTTGCAATTCACTCTGCTACCATTAATTTCAATTGATTATCCTTCTCTCTCATTTCATGTCCGGCCCCCTTCCCCATTTCGACTAGTCAGTAACTCACGTTTTTCTCTGATCCACTATGCCATTTTTGTGGCTCGACGAAAGAGTTTTTACATAGTTACCACGCTCTAAATGTGCGTAGAAAACGGAATTATCGCTTTTATTGCAAGTAAGAGCATGAAAACATTCGCAGTGTTGCTGCAAGCGGGCGTGTATCGGTCAACGTCTGGGGCGTAATAACATTTGCCGGTCTGGGTCCGCTCTTCCACATCCCCGGAAGACTTACGGCCGAAGTCTACAATGAGGTCATAGACGATGTTCTTCCACCTTTCGCCATGAATAGACCATTTCCTGACGGATGCTTTTATTTCCAACACGATGGCTGCCCTGTTCACAATCCATCCACAGTGAAGAAAATTTAAATGCTTCTGGCATCGCACAGCTCTGTTGGCTTCCTAAAAGCCCCGACCTAAATATCATCGAGAATGTTTGGGGACTAATGAAGGCACAATTGGCTCGCGCCAATTCAAAAACAATAACGCAGACAATTTGTGGAAACTTGTTGAGATGGAGTGGAATGCTCTCAGACAAGACCCTGATTTGGTGAAATCTCTGTTTGCTTCTATCCTGAGAAAGCTAAACGACGTGAAGGAGAGCTCAGGCGGCGTATCGAAGTATTGATTAAGTTTTAAGCACTAAATGTACTGTAACAGTGAGTTTTGAGAGACCCCTGAGTTTTTTCGTCCCCAATAAAAATATTAGATATTAATTTTTGTAGTGTCTACAAAAAACATAGAATTTTCAGATGTTCCTTTGTTATGATGATATAAGATAAGTCATGCTCGCTCGTCCGAAAATAGCGATGCTCTGAGTCCCTCAAACTTCTCGACAACCGTGAACCAAAAATAAATCATGTTTCAAACAATCCTTTCTATTTTTTGTCAAATACGCGACTCTGCGAAACAAGCAAAATTAAAACTGAAGAGAGCCCGCACCTTATGTAGTCCTCACGGGCAGTGTTTGCCATGGCAGCAGTGACGTAATGCACACGCTAGATGCAGCCTTCATGCCGTCCGATTACTGATAATAGCGAAGAATGCGTTGCATGAAATACCATCCCCTTCTATTATCGGCAGCAAGTAAAGAAAAAAAGAAATAAAAAACACCTTCCTCGGATGGGAGTGACCCCAGCTTAAGGAACAGCAAAAATAGTGAGGGAAGCTTGCCTACTGCTTCCCTCTCCTTTAAAAAGAATTCTGGGCCGTGGCGCTGTTCTCGCTCTTGGTCGACGCTCGCACGATTACCTTCATATCGCACCCGACTGTACGTAATGTATTTGAGCATGTGGTATTTTTCATTTTTATTGATTTTTCGATTCATATATTGTGTTCCTATATAAATACGTTGTGCCTGTTGTCTTGAGTGTTTTCTGGGTAACTGTGTAAAGATGTACAATATCTGTACATTGCAACAATATAATCACGACTCATCTCTTGGCCTATGCTGATAGTATGAAAAAATAAACAAAATAAATTAAATAAATAAATAGGCCTCTTGGAATACAGTCATTTTGCTTGAAATTTTGCATTTAAAACTATTTAGAACGTTTGTAGAAATTTGATCTGGCATCTCAGAAGAATAAACTAAACTTATGTCACTGAAGTGAGTGTTTCAGTGTGAAAATAAGTACATAAAACGTTATTTTGTCTGGAACATAAAAAGCCATAAAACAGACAAGAGGATACATATGCAGCTAACTTAATAAATTCTGTAACCCCGAGCCTTTAAACACTGTTCAGTGGGACAGCACATATTTTTTTTAGTTGTCGCAAAAAAACCACCTGGATAGCTGCGATTGCTCCCCTTTTGAGAAAGCTTACTGGCTTATGGCGAGGTAGGGCCAAAAAAACACGGTGACTTATAGTGTGGTGATAATAGAGTTCACCAATGAGTTACGACAATAGGGTGCAATGTCACTCTAAAGGGGCCTAAAATCAGTTGCTCTATTGAAGCGTAAACTGTAGGTGTTATATATTTGCCAGTGACACCTGGAGTGGTATATGGTAATTGAATAAGCGAGAAATGGTAATCTTAGTACAATGCCAGAACAATGACATAGCACAAATCCATATTTAAAGCCCATGAGCCAAAACGCCGGGAGATAAGTGTTTTCTTTTGATGAAACTGCCGTAGCAGTACGCCTAGCCTCCTTCAAGAGGCCTTGCTGAAGTTTGCCTATGCATATTGTTACATAAGACTAGTTGGCTGTTTTAAAAATTTCTTTGCTGAATTACATTCAAACAGAAGATTCCGACAAATTAACATGAAATATTGGTGAAAATAGGGCCCCCTATTTTCGGAGATGATTTTTCTTGAAACTGGATGGATTTTTTTTAAGTTTATTTTGAAGGACGTACGTTCGGCGTTTATGAGAGCGTATTTTTTTGAAATCGCCAATTCTCGTGGATTCTGTGTTTACTTTTACATTATAAGTTCTAGCAGTGAGTGACTCGTTGTTAATCTTACTTTTATTAAAAATTTGTTGCATTGTTGCTAAGAACTTATTTTTTAATCTTTTCATTTTTTTCTCACTTTCTGTTTGTTTACCTTGTTAATAAAGCTGTTAACATGCTTTGCTTTAAGCTTGCCAAAGCGTGCCTTTGGGCAGAACATGCACAACAGTCAAGCTGCTTCTCAGCTTTTTCTACGAGCTTCCCGCAGCTTGTTGATAAAAAAGGTCCTACTAAAATTATTATTAGTGTGGCATTACTTACCATACTCCAACATCTTAGATGATATGATACCTTGACACCAGAGCATGTGAACAAGCGAAAAGTGTCTTAGACATCTGGAAGGTTTGAAATCTCATACATATATACATGCAAGCACAAATATTTGAATACAAAGCATCTACGTTCGTTCGTATTACAACGTTAAAGTTCCTCGCATTAAATGCAAGCATACTTTGCGAGGTTGCCGCCGCTGATCAAGGTGTGCTTATTTCCATAGATGACTGTGAGCTTTGAAGATTACCTGTGAACGTTAAAAATACCCTCTCAAAATCTCGGCTTGTCGTGTAAAACAATTACGGAAAATATTACCGGCGAGTGGCCATAAAACGTTTTCAGAATGGCGATGGGAACACACACACACACACACACACACACACACACACACACACACACACACACACACACACACACACACACACACCACACACACACACACACACACACACACACACACACACACACACACACACACACACACACACACACACACACACACACACACACACACACACACACACACACACACACACAAGTACACATTCCCGCTCGCACAAAAAGCAGAAGGTCCAACGTGCAATATTATTTTCAGTCGTGAGCTTCATAGCAATGAAGCCGCATCCAAAGTCTCACGATGATAGACGATGCGATTGTTATGTATGAAAGCAACACTAATTATTCCTTGTATTGTGAGTCCATAAGAAATACTGTATCGAGAATGTTGCGTTCAAAGCACACGCTTTTTTCCTAGAATTTCTTTCACTTAGGAATAGCGTTTATAAAATACTCACTGAAATTGTGTGCTCAATTGAAAAAAAAGTTAAAATTTTTTGTTCCTCGAATTTGTGTTATACGAAAAAATAAAAAAAGTAAGAAAGGAACGCGCACAAAACGCAGCGGACGGCGGGAATTGTCTTTTCCTGCTGACGTGTCTTTTTGTTCTACAATACGCCTATTTCGATTACGGCACCTACGGATGTTTCTCGCGCAATACGGAGAATCCAAAGCAGCAGACATTGGGGAATCAGGTCGATGTGTGAATAGATGCACGTGGTTCAACCACGTCACATATCTCTTATGCAGTCTCGGCCAGCCTTCCGATCATCGTTAGGAGTCGCCGTCGTCATCTCAGCCGTGATCTCCGAGCGACGCTGGCAGGGGAGTTTACACCGCTGCTTGCGCTCCCTTCCCCTCTCAAACCTCTCTCTCAACGCACGCTGCAGTCGTAGGCGTGCGGCGATGCCGGTGTTCCTTCTGTCACATTGCGTTCAACTTGCGTCCGACATGAACGGCGGTCCATCGACGACTGCGCGCTTCGCCGCGTCCGGAGTGCCAGAGTCGGCTGCGCTGCCCGCGGCTTGCGCCCTGCGTGCCCCGACCGGCCGGCAGCCTAAGTGCGCGCGCTGCCGTAATCACGGTCGCCGTCGGCTCGTGCGCGGCCACAAGCGCCACTGTCCCTTTCGGGAGTGCACGTGCGAGAAGTGCGAGCTCATTGCCGAACGCCAACGAGTCATGGCCAAACAGGTCGCCCTGAGAAGGTAACAATCCCTAAGTCTCACTTTTCGTTTTTTCATCGTGTCTACGAACCATGGTATGCGTGCTCTTGCACGCAGCTGCCTCGTTTGGCTGTCTGAACGAATCACGCTTTGCACGCGATAAAAGTAAGGCCACAGAACTCAAGTTTTGAGTGAAACTCAGACTTACTACAATTGCTGTTGTGGCCAGGTGCGTAGCCGGAAGTTTCTATCGGGGAAGAAGGTGGTTCAGCTACGCTTTATGTATGTCCGAGCGCACGTCTGTATGCGTGCGTGTGTAGAGACACATGCAAAACTAAAAAGGAATATCGAGCAGCAAACTGTCTCTCCTCCCGGCTTGAGTTAGGGTGTGGCTGCATTTTCCAGGTGAGGAGATAGTTCCCTATGTCGTATTCTAGTTGTGGTGTATGCTATATGGTGTGTGGGAGTGTATTTGCGTGTTGAGAAATAGATGTGAGGCGTAAATATTTACAACCATTGCGTTTTTAGTGAAGAAACACGAGGAGCATGGTCTCTATAAGTGCATGCGGAATACATGAGAGCAACCGCAACGTAGAAAGCTTTGCAAATTCCTGGCAGACACTACTATATATAAACTTGTCCTCAGCTGCTGACTTCTGAGCTTGTTTTTTTCCTTTCCACTTTTTTTTTCAGATCAATTTTTTTGTTTCACAGGTGTTTCAGGAGTCTCCATAACTAATTCAGCAACTCGATAAGTTGCTTTGAATACAGTCATTTACTCGATGGTGATAAGGAATATCATCTAATTTTTCCAGCAGCTTCTTAGTAGAAACTATTTGGGATCCCTTGATACATCTTCAAAATCAAGGCAAACAGTAGTGCCACAAAGAAGCTCGTCTTGAAAATCGCCACTAAATATTTATTAAAATGTTCAATATGAGGCCTCAGAACGTATTCCTGTCATGTCTTTCGTTGCCCCATACATCGCGTGTTACAAGGCGTTGACAGGCTAGTTGGCTCACGAATGACATCTTTCCAGTAGCATTTGTCTCACCAAATGCTGCAATAAAACAAATATTATCTCGTTGAGATCTATGCAGTCGTTGCCACGGTTTCAGCAGCCTTGAGTGTATCCTGTTATATGTAATTCTTGTACTTCTTGTTGATTTGGTTAGCCTTCGCACATGATTGTAAACGCTAATGCTATTTACGCACACCGTACTTTTAAAAACAAAAAGAAAGATAGACTAACGTTACTCCCACATATTCCAAAAAACCACTTCACCAACTGGTACGTTTCCTACGTAGGTGAGCGACGTAACACAGAGATGGTTTTTAGGTAAATGTAAGTTAGTGAATCTTGACATCTGCTGCGTAAAAAAACTGTCATGTGGTAAAGTTTACCTGGTGCTTGAGCAGGGTTTATCTCTTGGCCGTATTTATGTCGGACGTATGGAATAGCTTCAACTGAGGCATCTGGGACGAAAGAACCATCGCCTGAAAAAAAAGTACGGTATAGAGCGAAGGAAGACAGGAAATGCCACAGCATCTTCTTTCATATCCCACCTCGTTGAACATTTTGCACAATCTGCCATCTTTTGTTACTTCTGAGCATTAGAAATCTACCAGGGCTGTGCATAGGTTGGCGAACTCATTCATGAGTCTAATACCTTGGACTCACTCATATTCCGATCGAGCCGGGAGCAGTGAGTCCAGGTGAGTTATATTTTGGTGAATTTGAGTGCATGTGAGTCCGGTAGAAGAACATTTTCGTGAGTGTGAGTCCCAGTGAGCCCTAAGCGCAAAAAGCAATACATGAGTGAGTCTGAGTGAGCTCCACAAGTTTTGCTGACCGATGGGACTGTGACCCTGGCGGTGGTGAACGTGTCCATTCACCACACAAACAGTGGGCATGCTTTTGTCTATAGGGCCCAAGCAGCGGCTGAATCGAGGGGCAACCAGCTGATAACCGATGAAGAAGAAGATGGAGATCAGTTGCCAGGCAACCCTGTGCACGTCGCCCCTCCATCCCAGTGGAGCTCGGGCGATGTCATGATGCCCGACCAGACGTCGTCATTTGCACAGGAAACGTCCACATGTGTTACTGTAGGTGAGGTACTTCTTCACTTCATTTCAACACCATTAACTGTGGCAGCTCGTACACGAAGAAAAAGCTTGATGAATCTGACTGCACATTTCCCATTGATTTTTTTATCAGCGAATCTTTTGAGGCTGTAGGTACCTTGCGGTCCGTTATTTATGTAAACTATTGACATCATTAACCGCCACGCACTGCCTCAATTCTCTTTGCAGTGAAGTTGTTTCAGCTACCACTAAACTCTTCAGGTTGGTATGCACCACAAGAATGGGGCAAGCATTACCGCCATGCAGAGCACGTACGAGTGCCAAAGGAAAAGTAACGCGAGAAAGAGAGAAAAAGGGAAGAAAGCAAAAGATTGAAAGTTCTGAAAAATAGAGAGACAGAGAGAAAGAAAAAGAAGGAAGAGAAAATTAGAGAATAAATAAAGGCAATAAAGAAACGAAATACAATGAAACAGACAGAATTAGAACGAGAGAAAAAAAGGGACAGAGAAAAGTGTGCTAGAGAAAGGAGAAGAGGACACTGAGAGCAAGAGAGGAATCGAAAGAAAGGAAAAATAACGAGAAACAAAGAAGGAGACGGAAAGAAGAATAGAGAGATAACGAAAGAGATGAAGGAAAAGTATAGAAACAGTAAGACAGACAAAAAACTTTTGCAGCAAAAATTCGAGTAAATAAAATTGACGTTATGGGAAGCATATGGATGGAAGGTGACCGTGTTGCAATTTTTTATTGTAACATTTGTGCATATATTAAGCGTCATGAATTGAGGCTAACTATATGCACAATTGTTGCAAACACAGACATATGTTAAAGAGTTGCAGATGTTTATATAACCAGTTGTTCACACTTGCGCAACAATGCCAACTGGAACATGCGTATTAGCAACACCAGATGTTGATATGAAGCACTGATGCTCGCGAAGATGCTGGCCCTGGACACTGCTACATGAATAAACTTCAGCGCATAGCAACTAACCACAATTGACGTTGACCCGACGTGATAGTTGTATCAAAAGAGTACATATGTAATGTTTATAAAATTGGCTAGGCAGCACAGCAAAGACTATTGCCGTTTCACGAAGATTAGCGTGTATTTGAAAAGTAGTTCCGAGGCCTGGCGTAGTAGCTCTCTGGTAAAGTGCTTCATTGCCAGTCAGAAAGTTTGGCTTTGATTCCAGTTGGGACCCCAACATTTATTTTTTGCATTCGTCGGGTCAACACTACTGAATTCGGGTATTAGTTAATGCTCGCGCATTAAAATTGTCCATGTTTGTTCTCATCCTTCCTTGGTGGATACTAAGTGCCAAGACCCTGTAGCATATATACGCATACCACCGGCACATACCTGCCCATGGGTATGTGCCACTGCCTGGCGGGAAATGTTTTGCGACGTGCGCGACGGAATTGTGAGATTCCTCATGTCTTGACCAGCACGTCATATTCGTCAAACCATCTTACCATCCCATGCTAATTTTAGTTCACGCCAAGTTAAAGAGGTGACCATGAGAGCACCCAAACGTAAGTGGACATATACATTAATAGATACGCTAAAAGTCACTGAAGTTTGGCAAAAAATGCTTCGCATTTAAAAATAATTGAATAAAGGGAAAAAGTACGAGAAAGAGTTGCAAGAAACAAAGTGAAAAGAAAGAAGGGAGGAAAGTAGGGGAAAAATAGGCAATCAAGAAAGACCCTCCCCCGGTGTTTTCTTCCCTCAGGCTTGGACCCACTATAGCTGAAGCCGAATGATTGATATGTGGGGTTTAACGTCCCGAAACCACCATAAGATTATGAGAGACGCCGTAGTGGTGGGCTCCGGAAATTTCGACCACCTGGGGTTCTTTAACGTGCACCCAAATCTGAGCACATGGGCCTACAACATTTCCGCCTCCATTGGAAATGCAGCCGCCGCAGCCGGGATTCGATCCCGCTACCTGCAGGTCAGCAGCGAAAGTACCTTAGCCACTAGACCACCGCGGCGGGGCCACTATAGTTGAAGCCGTCATATATAAGAGCGTTTCAAGAAATGTGTCCTATATTCTTTAAAAATAACAGAATGAGGGTATCTGTGTGCTATTTGCGCCATTGCCTTTTCTATGGCAGAAGGCATCTTCAGACGGGTACAAAAATTATTTACGGTAGTAATTAGAGAAATTAACACAATTAACTTTTCAACCAGGGGTAATAGCCGGTCGAGTCAAATGTTCGGATTGAAGCCCTGTCTAGGAATGGTCCATAGCCATTTTACAGCAAAAAAGGCCCATAGCCAAGGCGGCCAGTGGCCCCGCCGCGGTGGTCTAGTGGCTAAGGTACTCGGCTGCGGACCCGCAGGTCGCGGGTTCGAATACCGGCTGCGGCGGCTGCATTTCCGATGGAGGCGGAAATGGTGTAGGCCTGTGTGCTCAGATTTGGGCGCACGTTAAAGAACCCCAGGTGGTCGAAATTTCCGGAGCCCTCCACTACGGCGTCTCTCATAATCATATGGTGGTTTTGGGACGTTAAACCCCACATATCAATCAATCAATCAAGGCGGCCAGTGGTAATCACCGCGGAGTGATGGAATTGGGCCAATTTAGCGGACGAAATTGAAACAAACGTGCGAAACAGCGCATGTACCATTCATTTCGGCGACACCCTCAATGACGACGCTGTTTCCCTTGCATCGGAGGAGAATAGGCGAGCGTCGATAAGCGGCCTCGAAGCGAACTGTCTAAATTGACGGTTGATAACGGCAAGGGAAACAGTGTGGTCACTGAGGGAGTTGTCGAAGTGAACAGTAGATACGCTGTTTGGTTCGTCGCTTTTGATTTCTCCAGCTAGATTAGGTGCATTGCATCACTCCGCGTTGATTATCAGTGGCCATTTTTCAAAATTTTGAAGTGATCATTAACTATTCGTAGGAAAGGCTTGAATTCGCCTATTTGGCTCGACCGGCTGTTATCGCTGGTTAAAAAGTTATTGTGTTAGTTTCTATAAATACTGCCGTAACTACTGTTTATACCCATCTGAAGATGCCTTCTACCACAGGGATGGCAATGGCGCAAGTAGCACGCAGATATCTCCTTTCTGTGATTTTCAAAGAATATTGGACACATTTCTTCAAATATCCTGTGCATATATATATATATATATATATATATATATATATATATATACCGAAGAATTTTTTCCAATAGGCCAAACGTACTTGAGAAGAGAAGAGACACAACTTGGCAGTTGTCTTACTTTTATTTCCATCGGTTTCGACCGGTGGGCCAAACTTCATCAGGGTTTGTGCTATCTCTAAATATATATAATATATATATATATATATATATATATATATGTATGTATATATATATTACGTTCCACGCCAATGAAAAACGATGATACTACAGTATTTGTTCGAAGGAGAATATGGAATTTTTGTCAATGAATTTAGTTATATAGTGGAGCCTGGAGTTTACTGTGTCCTGAATTGCTTTCGGCTTCCCTGGTCCTGCGTAACTTCTTTTTGCGATGAATCACATGATAATCATAACACTTGAGGGGATGTCGTCAGATAGACTTCTTTCTGAAGTCGACCTAAATGAAATTGTAGGGTGAGATGTTCTTGCATATCTGAAATACATACTAGAATTGCTTAAGTAACATTTCTATGTTGGAAGCGGTAATGAAGCCAATATAATATTCGGCATTATCTTTCAGCATCATATGGCTGTGAGCAACAAAACCTTTGATTCCGCCTTTTTAACAGGTCTGCTGTGAGCCTTTCTACCATAGATATGTCATTCACTCTGCTCAGCAGGGACCGATTTCACAAAAACCTTGATGCTTGTGAGTGATTTTTCCCAATCCGTTTACCTTCAATAAGTATGCATCCACCATCAGGACTGGCTAAGATGTTCTTATGGAAGTGATTGTAACATAGGATCTTCTTCTGAATTTTGTAACAGCTCTGGGCCGGCGACTGGTAGTCAAGTAAAGACAGTTTTTCTGTGCTTCCTTCGAGTGGTGATGCACGCTTTTTATACAAGATGTTGTTTCCTGAGTGGCACAATCTTATGCTTCCAACAGACAATGAGGCTAACAACGGTAAAAAGTTTTTACATGATTGTTTTAATTGTAGTATGGTGAACAAGACATCAGTGGAACAGAATTCAAGTAAATGAGAAATCAAGTTGCCGAAGGCAGTTGGCGAAACCACAATCAAAGGCGGTCCGTTCTATCCCTACATAAGACACGCTTTCCTACATGTTCTTTTATTGCTCGTAATATATGTCACAATTTCTACGGTACTGTTAAAATATATAAATAACGTGTCCCATACCTTCCTTATCTTTATTCTCTGTTGTTTGTTATTAGATTGAGTCTAACAAAAGAGACCAACCCTCAATGAGTTCTGACCTGGTCGACTGAATTTCGGTGTATTAAGCGGCGCAGTATATTTTACGTTACTGAATAACAAAGAAAGTATGTGTCATCAAGCAAGTGACCTCTAAATCAGCCCTAATATAATTGTAGGGGTTTTACGCCCCAAAACCACGATACGGTTGCGGGAAAAACCATGGCGAATGGCTCCGGAAATTTCGACCACCAAGGGTATTTTAAATGGAAGCTAAATTACTTAAAAATAACGTAGAAGTCTGTATTTGCAGTTAGGTTTTCTTTCATTTCAAAAACCGATGTGAGAGTTTTTATAGTGCACGCAAACAATTTTTTTAATTGCTTGGGCCGCAAATTTTCTAGAGATGCTAAGAAAACACGGTGATGTCATCTTCAATATACCATGTCGTCTGCAACAGCATCGCTGTTGAAGCAGGGCCTCCGCGATTAGCTCCAGCAACGCGATCATCCGGAACTACTCACAGAGAATATGGCTGGAGATACGAGGGAAACTTGTTAACGTTCAGCTCGAATGTGTGTCGTTATGGAAGTCACTTTAATTCAACTGCAGAGCTTTCAGCGTCTCTCTGCACTTACTTGTGCCCACGGTGCACTATGAGTGCTCTCGCATTCCCTTCCGAAA